GATCCGGAGTTTCTCATTAACTACTTTAAAGAAGGCATTGTTCACGTTGCTGCAAATGCAACTGGCTTCAGCAGTAGGAAGTCAAAGAAGCCTTGGTTAGAAACTTTAAGTCTTCGCCAGGAAAGAAATGCGGAAGCAGCGTGACGACATGACCATGATGAGATGAAGAAAAGAGGGTATCGCTTTCTCCAAAAAGCTGTTGCCAGGACAGGCAACAATGATTGGTTCTCGAAGAGCTGAAGATGGAAAAAGTGAAGGCAATAGGAGACTGGAAGATACTGCACAGTCAGGTGAATATCATCGCCAAAGGGGAGAAACAAAAACACACAACCGGCTTGCTATCCAGCAAGTCCAATGAGTCGCTGTTGATTGTCGGAAACGACAGCCGATCATTTTGCAGAGCTTCTTACTATGGTGGATCTTCCGGTAAATACTCAAATGAAAGAGGAAGTTGGAAAAGATCTAGCTGTTACCTGCACCCCACCATCGATCGAAGAAATCCGAAAGGTGACGCGATGTTGCTGAAGCTCAAAGTCCTGCGTAAATCTGAATCCCAAAAAAACTGAATCCTGATAATCCTGATTTTAAAGAGTGGTAATCGTGCCGAACGGTACAAGTTGTCGAGGAATCACCCTCCTGTTGGTGCTAGAGAAGGTCTTCGTGCGAATCATTCTTGAAAACCTATGGAAATCTATCAATCGTTTGCAGCAAACTAACCGAACAGGCTTTTGAAGTGGATACTCATGCCTGGACAACATCTTAGTGCCAAAGTGAATTGAGCAGTGCCGCAGCTTCGAATTTCCCTGACATGCAAAGATTTTTGACTTCCGGGCAACCTTCGATTCAGTTCACCGCCAAGCAATGTGAAGTGCTATTCATCACTACGGGATTTCTCATTCTCATTTTCTGCGAATGTAAACCTGATAGGTTCTTACGAAGGAACTAAATATGTCGTAGAAACTGAAAGATTCTATCTAACTAGTTCAACATTATTAGTGCAGTTCGTCAAGCCGACGAAATCTCTCCTGTTACTGAACCTCACGTCGGACTACGTTATACGATAGTGTGTCTCCCTAAATAACAACGAGGGACTGACAGTTAGTCAGAGACAAAACTCGAGATACCCGGCGGTATTCGTAACGGATCTAAAGTATGCCAGCGAGTCACGCTGTATGGTGACTCCACAACTGACCTGCTGGAAGTGAGTGCAACAAAGCTGTGAGAATGGGGCTACAAGCGAACGCCAAAAAGGCGAAGATTATGAGCCCCCGAGGTGATGATTACACATTATATGTAGCCTAGAGGATCGTTTACTCAGACCATGGCTCCACTGCCAGTGTTTGTTTGAAAGGTGAACCATAAAACGGTAAAAGGTTCGTTACTAGAATAGAAAAGAATCTAGATCATAATCTATTCAGATTAGATTGTGCTCCAGAGGAAACTAGTTTTTCCTGAAGCAGTTGTTGTCCTCTTTTGGGCGATTTTCAGACGTATTATTAGTAAGTCAAGAGAACAGCTGCTTCTTTCAATGTTCATGGAGTTTTAGTGGCTGTGCTAGCCCCGCGGCTTTCGTTCGAGACGTTAAGGTTTTCGCAACTCTTCGACAATACGCAATGAAAAAAATAAGGATCATACCTCAGGGTACATTAGCAGCGTTGGAAATTGTTGGATATGTTCCTGATTACACAGCACGTAATCGTCCATACAGTTCACAGCACCAAAATTCAATACGCCTTCTAGCTCGCGCGCGATTTCCCGCCACTAAAAGCATGAATCAGCGAATTTCGAGCGACCGCTGACCAGGTTACGGTAGGAGCTAACTCATGACAGTGTTGACAACGGGGCGAATAGAAGTTGATGAACCAACGCTCCATGCTGTTCACT